GAACAGCAGCGGCCCAAAGGCCTGGCCTAACCCGCTCGATAGCAGGAAAGACCTGGCAAAGTAGAGGGGGAGGCTGGGCCACCGACCAGCGCCGAAGCTAAACGGTTCACGTACGCTGAAAAGAGGAGTTCAGGGCACATACCCTGTCGGCAGTACGCGAGCACAGAAGCCCGCCCTTCAGAGGACTGGTTTAAGAAGGTAAAGTGGGCCTCGGAAGTGCTTCCGAACTTTAATATGGAAACTCACAGACCGCCCCAGCAACCCAAAAGGCAGCTGCAAAGCGATCCAGGATACTTCCAAATGTGTCCATTCGCGCTTATTGCCAAGGAGAGGACGCTGATAGGCGTCGTCGACAAAGGCAGCTCGGGTGGAAGAATCCCGAGGAGCCAGTGCTTCGAGCTCCTGGACAAGGACCCCGGCCCACCTCCAGTCTGCAAAGACATGGGATGGTTCCAGGGCAAGACCAAAAGTTCGGGTTCAGCTCCGTCACCATAAAGGTGTACAAGTCGGACGCAGTCGGACAACCCAGTCGAGCAGGATGTTGCCTCGGAGATGGAGCCACCCGAGTTGGCCCACGAAGGTGACTCCCTAGAGTCGGAGCTGATGCTGGAGTTCGAGGCAATGTGCCGGAACGGAAGTTCCGGCGAGTCGGACGCCGACAATACAGTGGTGGAGATAGGCAAGGATCCCTCTGAGGCTGCAAAGTAGTGGACAAGATCGTACGGATTAGGTGTAAATGCCTCGAAAACGGAACTTGTACTATTCACTAACAAATACAAAACTCCGCCACTCAACCCCCCAACACTAAACAAATGTGGGTTAACCTTTAGCGACATTGCACTGAAATCACTAAACGCGATTTCGTCGAATTCGACCACAGTGGCAAATTGTCGCAAATCTCTACAACCAGGACATTGAAGGCAACTGCATGGCAGACGAGTTGGCCAGATCCGGCACTACACTCCCCTTTAATCAAGATAAGGAGGAAATACGGATGCCAATGGCCACTTGCAAGCTCAAAATAAAAGAGTACTATACCCTGCAAACAAACAGCAGCTGGCAAATGGTCACGGGATGTCGCATCACCCGACAAACGTGTCCAGACTTCTCGAAAAAGAGCACCGTTAAACTATGCAAACTTAGCACACACAGGTGCAGCGTAGTCATTCGCTCTCTTACAGGGCATTGACAACTCATATAGACTGCAAATCGAGTAAAAACTGGCTGCCTAATTAGAATAGTGGATTGGCTCCCAGTGCCTTCGGCTCTTGGTGAGAGAGCCTTCGGCTGAGAGAGTTTGGCGTTGGCTCTCTTTATCGTTGAACGCAAAACGACTCTAGCAAAAACAAAGTTTTATTTTCTCCTTTTCAAGACTACTTCTTAATTTCATGTGTGCGGTGTAGATACATGATGCCAATGCGTGTGTCTATTCTCGACTTCATAAGCGTTTTCATTTTTAACGCTTGGCACATTTGTGGTGCTTCTGAGCTCACATACCATTCCAAAAGAATACCCTCAAGACTTTATGAAGAAGCTTGCCCAACAATATCAAAATAAATATATTTTGTGTGATCTTTATATGCTTTATATAATTTAGGATGAAAGGGGTAACGGATATAAACATCTGAATATGTATACAATTAATGAATAATGGCAATAGAGTATTCAGCGTACACTGTGTGAATAAACATAGAGTTATAAGTGGAGACTTCCTTTTCAAGTTGGTTTTGTAGTCTCGTGTGTGTCTCTCTGTGTTTATTCACACAGTGTACGTCTCATATTTAGATGTTTATAGCCGTTTGTCCCTTTCGTACTAACTGTATTTAAGAAATATATGAGCATAGAGGATACACAAAGTCAATTTATTTATTTTTTTGGGGCAAGCTGAAATACTCAAGTTTGAAGGAAGGGTATGTGAGGTCAGAAGCAACACAAAAGTGCCAAACGTCTCAAGGGCTAAAAATTAAAAGCACGCAATTACACGCATTGCCATCATTTATATATGTACATATGTGTCACCGCACACATGAAATTACGAAGCAGACTTGAAAAGGAAAAACAAAACTTTGTTCTTGCGAGTCGCTTTGCGTTCAATGCTCAAGAGAGCCAACGCCAAACTCTCTCAGCCGAAGGCTCTCTCACCAAGAGCTGAAGGCACTGGGAGCCAATACAGTATACTGATTAGGCGGCCAGTTTTTACACCATTTGACCACTCTATGAGTTGTTTGCTTAGTGCTGATAGGCAACCACGCAAATAGGCTGGGTGCCCCATATAACGACTTCTGTCGTAGCTGTAGAGACGAAGATGAGGAGGAGACAGAAGAAAATCTGTTCTGATCCTGTCCGGCTCTCAGTAGAAGGATGTTAAGATGTCTGGGATCACCATTTCTAAACGACATTTCAGAAATGGCTACTATAGGCCCCAGGAAGATATCAAACTTTGTGAGAGGAAACCCAACAACAAAACACTTGAACATTGTACCAGAGTAGAGCGGGATAATTCAAACATAAAATCAAATTAAAATGGAACAAGGATCAGGAAATAGCGGTGGTAAGTAATATACATGTTATATTTTAATTGTTGTTACAAACTAACATTAGTATTTCTCAATTTCGCAGAGAAGAAGAGAACAGCAGGAGCAGGGTGAAATTGTCATCGGAGATGAAGGGCCTGCTGATAGACCTGTGGCAGGAGAATATTGAAGATCTATGTGGAGCCCGAAATTAATTCCTACGTCTACATGGAGATTGCACAGGCCATGAAGGAAGCTGGGCCCGAGATTGGATGGAGAGGTTCGATGGAAAGTCGAAAACAGATATCCCTTCTATTATCTCCTCCTCGTCAATTTTGTCCTCTTCGTCATCATGACAAGCAACATTATTAGCTTATGCAAGAAAATATTCTGCTGCTGAATAACACTCATAACCATTGCTATATTATTATTATTCATTTTAACTTTAGGAATTCAACAAATTTTCCCCTGCCCGAAATTGTGAGCATCAGTGGTTTTATCAAGAATGGTGGATGGTGCCAATTTGAACTAAAGTTTCACATCTTTTAAAAAATCTCAACGTTCCCCTTGGATGGGCTCAGTGTGCAGAGCCTGTTACCTTCCGTTTCTAGGTGCTCTGCCATTGGCAAAATTTGAATTGATACGCTCAATTTTCTCATCGTTTCTGACAGACAAAAACAGCTGACCCGGCTACTTCATAAAAACATCGCGTGAATAAAAAGTAGGTAATACAACATGAACATTTTAAATTCAATTGTTAATAGTTTTTTTTGGTAAAGCCTAGTACTCAGGTCGTAAAATAGGGGTCGAAAAAAAAATCAGGGATGATATTCGTATGGAACCGATAAGAAAATGTTGTGCGCACAAGCACTAACGAAATAGTATAGGTTGGTTGCGGACAAAATGTTTTTTCCAAATGTTTTCAAAATGTTTATTTTTTTAAAACAGGCAACTATTATGTAGCAAACTATTAAAAATTAAATTATGAAACAGTTATTATGTTTTTTCACAGTGCCTTCAAATGATTAATCAGCACACTCCATTGTCGTTGCCCTCACACTTACAGCGAGAGCCCTTTCACCCGTACTTTTCATTTGCACGTTTGCCTAATTTTTTCCGACGAGACCTCCTTATATAGTTGCTTTATGGCAACAATGCCGATGAAGTTAAAAGATAAATGAACACCGTGCGTCTAAACTAGCTTAAGGCCATCAAACGGCAGAAAAGGAAACAATTATTATATATTATATATATATAACAAAATGTTTTAAGTTGTTTTGCTTTTGGGACCAAGTACTGCTCCACATCGCCAAGGGGCGATGGCGACAATCTGGGCTCGAAACTATCCAATGAAGAATAGGAAGGGTGCTTGGAGGCGCCGTTTTACAACTTTGCAACGGGCGCAAATATTCCTTGGCACGGTCTTGCTGCTCCACCAATCAAAAAAAGCTTCAGATGTTATTCCCAGACATATGCAAATTCTCTGTTATATTTTCAAACTGCGGAATATGCAAAGGGTTTCGTTTCATGGGTTTCCATAAATGTACACATATTTTAAATATTTATAATACTCAAATGTATGGACCACGACCGCTCTGGTTTCTTTCCTGCAGATATGGGGTTAATCAAAGTTGTCGCTTATTTCGTTGATTGTCCTAATCCGATCATGCAAGAGCCTCCAATCCCACTAAAAGCAATCTTCCATTTCGAATTCATTATCTTATTAACCTTTTATTCCATTTTCACACATTTTCAAAAAGGTAAACAAAACAGCACAGCTGCCTGAGAAGTGTAACCGTGCGGAATGCGGTTTTCACTTCTGGTCACACTTTTCTGCTGGCATAATTCGCCAGCAAGTGTGTTTTTCTCTCTTTTGCCAACCCCCATTTTTTTTTAAATACGGATGATCATCTACAAAAACAAAAGAATAAACAAATAAATTATTTTAAAAATTATAACCTATTCTTAATTTATATTTGCATTTAATATTATTTGCTCTTCATTTTTTAATTATTCATATACATATGTAATAATCAAAATTAATTTACATCATTACCAACAAATCTTTTCCAGAAGTCCCACGTTCTAGACATACATACAGATGTACTTAAAAATTACATCTTTCTGAGCCGGGAATATGCTTTTTAAATTCTAAGCGCAATTGAGTGCACGATATTTTTAGTCCTTCCGTGTTTGGTACCTCAACATTAGGGGCACACGTTCAGCTGTTTTTGGGACTTCTTGCTCCTTGCTGTCATTGTTCTTGGATCTCATATTGATATACTTCACAAAATATTATAAAAAACCTACAAAATGTTGAGTGCTAAAAACAATATGGCGTTATTTATCTTACTATTATATTGTCTATGGTCATGCTGATTAAACATCATTATTTTTTGGTAGTTTTTCTTGACGCATCGAGCATAGTAGATTTCCACAGTTAGTATTTGTAGAGGGACCATTTTTGCACATATTTATAAAGATTGGCGCCAAATGTATTAGCAAAACAAAGATACATAATGTATGAAATGTGATAAACAAGGTTGAAATGTAAATTTCATTATTTCATTACCTGGCAAAGAAAAGAAAATAAAAGTGATCGCTCTCAACACATTTTTCACTGAAAATCATTTAACCGCGTTCGTGGTCATAAGGAATCGAATGATTTGGGACTGATAATCGTATTCACAATTATTTGAGATTACTATTATGTTACCAATCTTAATTTCATTCTGGATCCTTTATGTACAGTTGTGTCTATGTTTTTCCGAAGCTGGTCATAATAATAATACGACATACAATGTGGTTGACTGTGGTGGTTCAATGCATCATCAAAACTGGAAGCGTCATGTTATGATGGACTCGAATGGCTTATATTGGCTTCAATGGTGGATAAATCTAAACGAGAAAATTATTAACTTTGAAGTTAAGGTTAACACGAAAGGTTTTATTGGACTCGGGTTCTCAAAAGATGGTCGTATGTCAGAAGCGGACATTGTGCTGTTATGGGTTGATGACCGAACTGGCCAAGCAAATGCGTTAGTAAGTTTCTTAATTTAGACTGCATATTTAATTAATAATTAAGTAGTCGTTACATAAAGAGGTACGAAACTGTGCACGTACATATGTACATGATGAAGTGTGTCATTGTACAAATCCAGGGTCTAAGCCTTAGGCTGTAAGGTAAAGGTATATATAAACGAATACATACATACAAAAGTTTGTAAATACAAACATAAATATATGTACAAGTGTGTTTATAACAAAGGTGAACTCCTTTTGTTCGTAAAAGATTTAACTTTAAAACTACTTCATAATTGTTAATTATTCTGTCGCAATTAAATATTATTATAGGACTGTCACGGATCGATTGATTCTTCAAACGGGGCGCCAATACAAGATGATACCCAAAACTACCACGTTATCTTTGGTCATCAAAATGATTCTCACACCCTAGTTCAATTCACTCGAAAAATAGACACATGCGATCCGTATGATATGCCATTAACCGTATGTAATTTAAGAATATAGAAACCTTATAAATACATTTTTTTTCTTTAATTGTGTATAGGGGGATACTTTTAAAGTTATTTGGTCTTTTGGTGACACTGACCCGGTTTATGGCAGCTTAAAAGGACATGGTCGGAATCGAGGCGAAAAATCATTGCATTTACTTTCTCCTATGTTCCAAAAACATAGCGGAGAAACAGACTCATTGGACAGCAAATGGGACGTAACAGTAAATAATGTAACGATCGAACCATCAATGGACACTCTATACTGGTGTAAAATTGTTCGCCTCCCCAAGCTAACCAAAAAACATCATATAATTGGTTATGAAGCCCTCTTGTCTCGTTCTGGGTAATAAACTTGTCTGCTTAATATTTCAAATACTTATTATGAATTTTTTTTTTTTTTATATTTATTTCATAGGGAAAAGCAAACAAATATTGTTCATCAGATGACCCTATTTGAATGTCAAACTAATTTTTATCCAGGATCGGATCCAGCTTCGTGGGACGTTTGGGTGAAAAGTTCTGGTACAGTGTGCAACAGTAATCTATTGACCCCACGCGATTGGGATTCTTGCTCGATGGCAGTTGCAGTTTGGTCTTCTGGGTCCATGGGACAGTTTTTACCTTCTCATGTCGGCATACCAATGGGTGGCTCAATGGGTGTAAAGTATTACATGCTAGAAATTCATTATGACAATCCTAATGGAAAAAAATGTAAGTACGAGTGGTAATGTTAAAAAAGAGATAATATTTATATGTAGTAATTTCAGTCGTAGATCATTCCGGGTTCCGTTTACATTACACGCACAATCTGCGTCCTTACGATGCGGGTATAATGATCAGTGGCATTTCTATATCCGACACTCAACTCATTCCACCTGGCCAGAAATTGTTTCGCAGTGTTGGAATCTGTGGACCTTCATGTTCGAGCGTGGTATGCATTAATGTGATAAGTGTTAATAATTGATTAGCTCCAACAAGAAAATATTTAGATTTTTCCTCAGAATGGCATTAAAATTATATCTGGAATGATTCATTCTCATCAAGCCGGTCGGAAAATGAGTCTTCGTCATGTTAGGAATGGCAAAGAATTAAGCCGCATTATTGAGGATGATAACTTCGATTACAGATATCAGCAATTTCATCAACTTGCAAATGAAACTGTCGTATTGCCTGGAGATTACATTATTACGGACTGTGCTTATGAGACAATCGAGCGGAAACGCCCCACCTTCGGAGGATACTCCACCAAACAAGAAATGTGTCTTTCTTTTATTACTTACTATCCGAAAATTGAGTTGGCTGGTTGTTATAGTATGACGCCAGTTCGAGAATTTTTTGAAATGTTTGGTGTTTCCCAGTTCTATTCTCTAAACATGACGGATGTTGAAAATTTATTTCTTTACAACGGTAATCTCTTAGATTATATTCCCAAAAGAGCATCCCCTAGAACCAGGGAAAATCACCTAAACATGACCGTCGAGGATCTACTGTACGAAGAGTCTTTGTTGAGTAAGTTGTATTAGCGTATTAATATGCATTCACTTACTTTTGTCTTACAGACAAACTGGTTATATCTGAACCTGTGGAGTTTCATGATCGCACATTTCTGTCCCATTTAATTCAATTACCATGGTCTGAGCCACTTTTTACTAAACGCGTCGAACATGAACTTATAAATGGCAAACATATGACCTTTTGTCGTATTTCTAACGATTCCATATCAATTGTAAGTTAGTCATTGTATCCTTAATTCGTTAAATACTGTAATATATATTTTCAGCCATCGGAGATTATACGTTTTCCCAACTTTACCACATTTGTTAAGCCAGCTAGTACTTGTCTTAATCACCTATTTATTAATAGCGCTGAACTAAGTTCCAACGGCTCGAGACTGCTTTCCGATCTGGCGTTAAGCCTCATCTTTGTAGGAATGGGCTTACCACTTTTATTTTATCACATCTAAGAAAAGTTATTGTATACCTTTGCAGAATAAGGTTTCAAAATGATTATTTTTTTCTGTGGAGAGGGAAGCAGAGGGTTTTATGAGAATTCGAAGTGTAATGGGGCGAACCCTATTTGCGTAACTATTCCCGCCGTAGATACATTTTTTATTTTATATATTTAAATATATTTATTTATCCATAGAATTTAAAGAACGCCATACATAAGTCAAATATTTATTTAAACGAGAAGGGACGTGCGAGACGCTTCTTACGCGTCACAACTTTTATACCCGGCACTCAGTACTACATCTGCACCTTAGTGGTTATTTGTCAAATGTTACATTGTTTCTTCATCTGTCTACATTAACAACACTACTCACGCCAACACGCTCCTTTGGCTCGGCACCCTCCCCTAGAGGCACACACTGCAGAGTCACGGCAGAGACGCTGCAGAGGCAGAGACGCTGCAGAGGCAGAGACGTGTCACACTGCGCGAAGCAGAGTGTGAATGAGAGAATGTTCAACAAACAAATATAAGCTGCGGGACGGGGTGGGTTTAGCCACGGCAAATTAATTTCTTCGTTGTGGCTTTAATAATGATCCAATCGAATCCCAATTTGGTGGTCATTCCCTACGAAATGGCGTTGTTAGTTTTCTTTTATCTTCAAAATTGTAGGTTTGGGAGGTTTTCGCCCTTTAGCGTGGGCGGAAGGGGCGGGGCTAATTTTTTTAATACACTGGTTTCAGTGTGAGCATACAGCAGTCTGGGTGAAAAATTTTGTGGCTCTGCCTCTTATAGTCTCTGAGAACTAGCCGACAAACAAGACGGACAGACGAAAAAACAGTCATGCCTCTATCGACTCGGCTATTGATTCTGATCAAGAATATATATACTTTATGGGTCGAAACGTTTCCTTCTGTGCGTCACATAAAACCGTTATTCACACAAATACATTTTACTCTTCGATTACCGGGTATAAAAAATTTGTATACAAAATCAACCATAGCTCGGGAATTCTTACTGACGCAGCCGATAGGATTCTAAACAACTAACGAGTACATATCAGAAATTGGGAAGAACTCGCAAAAATCAGACGCCTTGAGAGGAATCACCAAAAACAACAGCAGCCTTCGTAAGCTCATCGAAGACAAGTTAAACCACTTATTAATAATCTAAGTTTAGAATATTAGTATGGCAATTTGAAAAATACAATAAAAGACGTAATAGCACTGCGAATTTCAAAATTCCATTTCAAAATTCCCTGATTCCCATCTATATTATCTACATATTCAAAACCAAGCTGGTGGAAGTCGACCTAACCAACCGATTAAAAGAGTAAGGGAATGCCAAAGCCAACAGAGGAAAATTGACGTCGTCGAACGGAACTGCTTGTAGGAGCAACATCTAGGAGAGAAAGTGAAAATAAAATTTCGGAAATAAAAGTAAATTTTTGAGCCGAATTTGCCTTAGCAAAAACTTTCAGTTCGTAAATATAAGGCAAAAGTACTACTCGATTCACAAAACAAAAGAAAACAAAACAGTGGTTACTGATAAGCAATAACAAAGTGTTCTTGTTATCATGAATGAATGTTATGCGATGAATCCAACGAGCGTGTGGTGGCTCAAGGGGCCTAGCTGAGGCCACCGGACGGGTCGCAGTTTGCGGATAGCGAACGGCCTACCTGGCTTAGGTAGGTCATCTGTGAATAAGCGGAAATAAACAGCCCCGGACAGCCAGCGGGTGTTTGCGAAGTAGCAACACTGACGATGCGCTTGTGGTGCCGCCTCGTTTAAGTAGCTCACACACTTCCCCTTCCCCACACAACACCTATCCTCACCCACCCACCTCAAACCGGGCCGGACTAAGGTGTCATTCGACCCGTGCCGAGAGCCCAGTCGTGTAGGGAAATGGCAGCACTGTTCTAATGATGCCTTACCTGGGCAAAGTGGATCTCTGCCCGGGCTGACCGTCCCCCTTCTCTGCATCTCGTGGGATCAGAATGAATAAAAATTTTAATAATAACAAAAAAAAAATACAAAAAAAAAACAAATGAGAGAGACACTGCCCGGTGGACAGCGAGGGAGCGAGCCCGTTGGGGCCCCACTCTAATCCTGGGGTGGGTGGCACAGCACCCCCCAATACTGACGCCTTGGAGAGGAAGCTAAGCAACATTGCGGCTGCCCGACCTTCTGGCAAAGTAGAGGGGGAGGCTGGGCCATCGACCAGCGCCGAAGCTAAACGGTTCACATACGCGGAAAGAGGAGTGCAGGGCACATACTCCGTCGGCAGTACGCGAGCACAGAAACCAGCCCCTCAGAGGACTGGCTGAAGAAAGTAAAGTGGGCCTCGGAAGTGCTTCCGAACTTTACTCTGAAACCGCATAAACCGCCCCAGCAACCAAAAAGGCAGCGCTCGCAAGAGACACCTGGACCAGCTGCAAAGCGATCCAGGATACTGCCAAATGTGTCCTTTGCGCAGATTGCCAAGGAGAGGACGCTGATAGGCGTCGTCGACAAAGGCAGCGCGGACGGAAGAATCCCGAAGAACCAGTGGAAGTGGGTGGAAGCGGCACTGGCCGACCGCTGCTTCGAGCTCCTGGACAAAGACCCCGGCCCACCTCCAGTCTGCAAAGACATGGGATGGTTCCAGGGTAACACGAAAATTATAGCCTGCGAAGATGAGCGCTCCGTGCAGCTATATAAAACATCGGTAGCGCAAGTAGGCGAAGTTTATCCAGGCGCTAAACTAGCAGCAGTCGACTGGAGCGAAGTGCCCAGAAGACCGAGGGCGAGAATTTGGGTGCCGGCCTCCATAAGAGAGCCACAACGCATCCTGCTAATGATGCAGCGATGCAACCCAAACCTTCCAACAGCAGACTGGAAGGTGGTCAAGCGATTGGAATCAAGCGGAGGCGACGTAGTCCTAATCCAAGAGCCTTGGGTGGTTTGAGACAAGGTCTGTGGATTAGCGACGAAGGACTACAAGCTGACTGTAGCACCTAAGGAAGGTAAAATTCGCACCTGCATTTTAGCTAGACAGCAGCTAGCCTAGAGCTGCAAGGGACACATGTCGTCCTATATGGCTCACGACCAATGTGACCCTCCCAGCGACATCGCGCGCAAGATAACCAGCGACAGCGAGAGGTCAAACACAGGCCTACTGATAGGTTGCGATGCCAACGCCCACCATACCCAATGGGGAAGCTCGGACATAAATGTAAGTCACTTTTCAGCTTTATAGTAAACTCGAATCTGGTTCTCTGTAATCGGGAGAATGACCCCACCTTCATTATAAAGAACCTACAGGAGGTCATAGACCTTACCCTAGTGTCCCATAGCATACTAGGCCTTATCAAGAGCTGGAGAGTCCTAGAAGAGCACTCCTTCTCCGACCTTAGGTACATAAAGACGATAATATCTCTCGAATGCCCAATAGCTGATAGTTATATAAACCCCAGGAAAGCCAACTGGGAGGCATATTCTAAAACCCTGGATAAACTTCTTCCCCCAACAGTATCAACATGCCCTAAAACACAAGACGACCTTAACAGTCTTGTAAATAGATTCACGGAGGCATGTCATAAAGCCTTTAAGGCTGCGTGTTCCCCCATTAAACCGAGAGGGAAGAAGAAACCCCCCTGGTGGTCGAAGACCATTAAAGTCCTACGTAAAAGCTGCAGAGCTAATTTTAATAAAGCCAAAAACAGCAACGAGGACGATCTATGGGCAGACTACAAGACCAGCCTTGCCCTATACAAAAAAGAAACTAAGAGAGCGAAAAGAGCCTCCTGGCAAAAATTCTGTACCGAATCGAAGAAACGGCAGAAGCCGCAAGGCTGCTCAGGATCCTCTCGAAAACAAATACCTCTGTGGGATACATCAAGAGTACACATGGGGCATGGACCAACTCCAGCAAGGAGTCCCTACACATCCTACTTGATACCCACTTTCCAGGGTGCACAACCACCGAACCACCGGAACGCCCCGGTGAAGGCCCAGCCACATCGATGGCGCACCTTCTTACAAAACGGAACATTTGCTGGGCGGTGAACAGCTTCAAACCGTTTAAATCGCCAGGTACAGACAAGGTGATCCCAGCTCAACTTCAGAGAGCTGGGGACCAACCTATCCTCTGGTTGCAATATATCTTCAAAAAGATACTAAAGGTAGGAAAGATTCCTAAAGCATGGCTCAAGGCAGAAATTATCTTCATCCCGAAAGCGGGAAAAGCCAGGTTTTTAGGTGAAAGCCTTTGCCTCGAAGGCAAAGGACTTCAGACCGATTAGTCTGACCTCCTTTCTCCTGAGGACAATCAACAACCCTCAGATGCTGCTAGACTCACAACACGCCTACCGCATGAAGTGATTTCAGGTATAGAGAAAGCTCTACACCTTAAGGAATACTCCCGAGCGGCATTCCTTGATATTGAGGGAGCCTTCAACAACGTCGAGCCAGGAGTTCCCACAAACACTCTTTGATCTTATGACCACAAAACTTGCTCGATTGTCAGAATAGACAAGATCGTGCGGTTTATGTGTAAATGCCTCGAAAACGGAACTTGTGCTATTCACTAACAAGTACAAAACTCCGCCGCTCAACCCCCAACACTAAACAAATGTAGGTTAACCTTTAGCGACAGTGCCAGTTACCTTGGGTTGGTAATAGACAGGAAGTTAAATTGGAACCTAAATACGAAAGAAAGAGTGAAGAAGGCCAATATGGCCCTATACACCTGCAAAAAAGCGATCGGATTAAAATGGGGCATGAACCCACGTACGGTTCAATCACTACTGGCAATCACTGGCACCACTCCAAGTGATGCACTAAATGCCTTCCTATACCTGCAGGGTATAGTAATTGCAGGGAAGGAACAGGTAGTTAGGTCAGCTATACGACTGAGAGACTCCGACCAATGGACGTCACGACCCTATGGTCACTCGGCGGTCCTTAATGATACCAACATAGTACCTTACATAACGGACTATTGTGTTCCCAGGGAGTACACAGCACCCCCCTTCGAGTCTTTTATCCCCCGCAGAGAGGAATAGCTCGAGGGGCCACCTGGTCCAAAGGGGGCCATAAACATCTTTACAGATGGATCCAAATTATAAAATAAAGTTGGCGGATGAATTTACTCTGAGCAACTAAACATAAGATACTCATTCCGCCTTCCAGATCATTACAGTGTCTTCCAAGCGGAAGTCATTGCTGTAAATGAAGCGCTAAGATGCCTTCAAGAGATTT